GACTCTTGACCTCTAAAGGTAGTGGGGGGGAGGGGGCTCTTGCCATCTGATGTAAGGGGGGCGCTCTGGATAAGTAGTCTTACAGATACAACCGGTCCTTTGACTCTTGACCTCTAAAGGTAGTGGGGGGGAGGGGGCTCTTGCCATCTGATGTAAGGGGGGCTGCTCTGAACATCTAGTCTTACAGATACAACCCACCCTTTGACTCTTGACCTCTAAAAGTGATGGGTGGGGAGGGGACCCTTGCCATCTGATGTAAGGGGGGGCTCTGGATAACTAGTCTTACAGATACAACCGGCTCTTTGACTCTTGACCTCCAAAGCTGGTGGTGGGGGGAGGGGGCTCTTGCCATCTGATGTAAGGGGGGTGCTCTGAACAACTAGTCTTACAGATACTACACCCTTTGACACTTGACCTCTAAAGGTGGTGGAGGAGGGACTCTTGCCATCTGATGTAACGGAGGAGCTCTGGATAACTAGTCTTACAGATACAACCAGCCCTTTTCGACACCTGACCTCTAAAGGTGGTGGGGGGGAGGGGGCGCTTGCCATCTGATGTAAGGGGGGTGTTCTGGAAAACTAGTCTTACAGATACAACCAGCCCTTTGACTCTTGACCTCTAAAGGTGGTGGGGGGGGGCTCTTGCCACCTGATGTAAGGGGGGTGCTCTGGACAACTAGTCTTACAGATACAACCAGCCCTTTGAGGGCAACTATAATGCTGATGCAATTAAATTGAGTTTGACACCCCCCCCACTTCAGAGGCTCCACAAACAATGTATTTTTTGTCAGATGTTGAACTTATCCTTCAAGGGTGGTGAGCCTGCACCTTCACTACTGGAGTCCTTTGTTCCATTTCAGCCCGGGATTCCTTCCTGCAGTTAGTTTTGTAGCCCCGTCCTAGTTAGTGTAGGATTCTAGGCAAATTTACTTTTTGAAAACACAACTAATCACCATACAAGAGGTCTCACAAAAACAAATTCAAGCAGCAGAGCGATTCTAGGCACAGGGTATACCATATGAACTAAAAAAAATGGGCAAATCCCGTGCCGTGCTAGTAAAGTGGCGTGTGCAAGATGCAGTGCAATACAATACACAAACAAAACATAAATAAACAAATAAGTGACATCATATGAAGTCCATATACTGTTGAAAAATAGAAACAAAAGAGTCCATACAACTGTGAAAAGTTTGTTTCCAAAAAACACACCGGTGCAGATTCCTCTCCCCACAGCATGTGCTCCTCAAACACTTTCATGAGTGAATTCCTAGAGCTCTATACACCATATACCATAATATACAGTATGCTTGCTGAGGGCTGCTGTTAAAAACCAGGGGGCCCAATACAGCCAACCTGACAGGGCCCCCCCCCCCCAAATAAATACTATGATTCGGTTATGAATGAACACAGTAAGTGATCGGTATCCATCACTCATTGTGTTCATTCAGGAATGAAAGGAGCTGGTAAATATGATATATTCACCTGACCCTTCCTCCACTCTCCATCCTGAAGGATCCTATTGTGTGCTTGCAGCTGCCGCTGGGAAGGAGAGGAGGCAAGCTAAAAGCACTGCGGGGGTGGGGACACACAGGGGGGCCTAGACAGCAGGGGGAAATGCATAGTGCACAGGGAGGGCGATGGGTGCGGTGGGGAGTAATTACTGGAACCAATCCCCTGTATGGCTCTCTCTGCAGCATCTGAAAGCCAGTGGGAGGGAGAGAAGTAGGCAGCTTTCAGCTGCTGCAGAGAGACCCATACAGGGGATCAGTTCCAGTAATTGCACCCCACCATGCCGATCACCCTCCCTGCCCACATCTGATTCACCCCCCTACTGGCTTGGGCCCCATACAGGACCAGTGGATTTCCTTATCCATGGAATATCTTCTTGACCGTACACCCCATACATCCCGTACATCCTGTACACCCCATGCATTCCGTACATCCCATACATCCCGTACATCCCGTACATCCCGTACACCCCGTACACCCCATACACCCTGTCCACCCCGTAAATCCTGTACACCCCGTAAATCCCATACATTCCATACACCCCGTCCATCCCGTAAATCCCGTACATCCCATACATCCCGTACACCTAGTAAGTCCCGTACATCCCATACATCCCATACGGCAAGCAGATATTCTGACAGGTTTGCAGGAGACCTGCATGGCATCAGTGATCTACTGATCGCTGGTGAAATGCTGTCCAGGCTCCTTCAGACAAAAATAATAAATGTAAATTTTTTTACCTGCAAAAATATGTACATTTACTATTTTTGTCTAAAAGGTGACTTTATCCTTTAACTGCTTTCCCGCCACCCTATAGCAGATATACTGCTACAGAGCAACAGTGGTACGCAAAAATATATATACATATACATACATTATTTTGCATTTCCGGGTAGGGGGCGTGCACCTTACCCGCACTGCTATTCACGGCCTCGGCTGTCAATCAGTGATTACTCGCTGGCACCCGGGGATCGAGGAGCATTACCGATGCAGGAGAGAACTGTATGTAAACAATTCTCTCCCCTGTCAGCTCCTGCACACTGCTTTGTATGGCTCTGTGTATAATATATATATATATATATATATATATATATATATATACATACATATTTTTTTTTTTTTTTAAATATAAACATATGTATTTTTAAATATATTTTTTAATTTATTTATTATATATATATATATATATATATATATATATAATATATATATTATTATTATTATTATTATACAGTATTTATAAAGCGCCAATAGTTCGCTCAGCGCTGTACATTACAATTGGGGACAGAATAATAACAATACAATACAATGCAAAACATGAGGGGATCGAGGGCCCTGCTCTTTCGAGCTTACAATCTAGGAGGGAGGGGATGGTGGCACAGGAGGAGATAGCTGTGGGGGATGGGGTGGTAGGAAGAGTGGAGGATGTCGACAAGTTAGCAGGGGGTGGGGTAGGCTTCCCTGAAGAGATGGGTTTTAAGGGTGCACCTAAAGGAGAGGACAGTAGGTGATAATCTGATGGGTTGGGGCAGGGAGTTCCAGAGGATGGGTGACACCCTGGAGAAGTCCTGGAGGCGGGCATGGGAGGAGGAGACCAGGGAACTAGAGAGAAGGAGGTCTTGTGAGGAGCGGAGTGTGTGTGCTGGGCGGTACTTGGATATTAGATCAGTGATGTAGTTCGGGGCAGTATGGTGGACGGCTTTGTACGTCAGTGTTAGGATTTTGAATTTAATCCATTGCGCAATCGGAGGCCAGTGGAGGGATTGGCAGAGGGGGGTGGCGGAGATGGAGCGGTTGGAAAGGTGAATGAGTCTGGCAGCCGTATTCAGGATTGACTGAAGCGGGGATACCCAGCGGCAAGGCAGGCCAGTGAGGAGGGAGTTGCAGTAGTCGAGTCGTGATATGATGAGGGAGTGGATGAGCTGTTTAGTGGTTTCTGGGGTTAGGAACGTGCGGATTTTGGCGATGTTGCGGAGGTGGAGTCTGCACGAGTTTGTTAAAGATTGGACTTGGGGCTGGAAGGATAGGTTGGAGTCCAGAATGACACCAAGTACTCTGGCCTGCGGGACGGGTTTGATGGTGGCGTTGTTGGATGTGATGGAGAAGTCAATGGGGGGTGGTGTCCGGGCTGGGGGGAAGACAAGAAACTCGGTTTTGGAGAGGTTCAGTTTAAGGAAGTGGAGCGACATCCAGTCAGATATGTCGCTCAGTAGGTGTGTGATTCGGGCGGAGACCGAGGGGGTGAGGTGGGGGGTTGAGAGATAGATTTGTGTGTCGTCGGCATAGAGGTGGTAGTTGAAGCCGTGAGAGTGTATGTATATATATATATATATATACTGTATATAGCGCTGTGCAAATTGCTGGCACTACATACAGCAAGTACCGGTAATATATATTTGTAAATATATATATTTTTTATTTATATATATATATATATATATATATATTATATATATATATATATATAAGCGCTGTACAAATTGCTGGCACTATATACAGCAAGTACTGGTAATAAATAAATAGAATATGGACCGGCAACAAGTAAAAATGTCTCCTCCGATATTTCAAATAAACTTTTTGATAATAATGCTCACTAGATTTTCCCTTTAAAATCAAATTCCCATGAGAAGTACATTGCAGCTGTCTAGCCTGAGTCACAATGATGGATGCTCAGTAGAGCTCGGGGCAAGCTGTCCATCACTGAGCTCTGTGCATTGTATGAGGGATTGTACATGTGAACAGCTGACTTAGCAGCCTCCGCGCCGCTGCTATTCACACTCTATAATGCATGCCCAGCCACACAAAACCACGCTCCCTCGTGTGACGTCACGTCTCCCACTCCTTGCGTCGGAGCCTCTCGGAGGGGTGTAGGTGGAAATCGTGACGTTACGCACAAGTGCCCTCAGATCTCTCACACTCCTGGGCGCCGCCTCTTTTTAAGATTTCCCTTTTAGCGTCATTACAGGAACAGAAAGCACAATGCATGGGGTAGATAACAAGGCAAATCAGAAACGTGCGGCAAGGACAGAAACTCAAAGGACAATGCTTTGTCTTGCCACAATTGCAGTGCAGACCGTCACAGAAAACAATAAAACACACTTACCCAGACTAGAAGCAGCATTAAGCTGAAAGCGGTATCAAACCAAAACCAAAAAGGTCATATATTGCAGCTTATCATTAGATGTGGTGGCTGCCTTCATTTTCTTTTTTTAGGTTTTGTTTTCACCTTGTGATCTGACCAGTAACACACCTCCTGTATTAGAGTGTCCCCATTCTGGATGAAGGAGCACAGGAGGCACAACAGACAGCAGTACTGTCAGTATGGGGGTAGGGGAGTGTTAGATGTACTAGCAGATTTAAAGTGTTACTAAACTCACAACAGTAAAATCAGTCTGAATATGCAGTAAAGCATGCTTGTTATACTCACTGTGGAACCTAAGGAGTTAATCCTCTGTAAAAATGCCATTTGATCCGGACTTCTCAGATCCTCCTCTTGTTCAAATGTCCACGCTGATAAGACAGACTGAACCTGTAGCCCTCCTGCAAAAGCTCAGTTTGGTGTTTATTGCAAGAGAGGTTTTTTATTTTTCTTGGGAGAGTGCATGTGATCAGCACAGGGACAATCAGCACTGTCCAGACAGAGGTCAGGGGTTCTGCATCCTCCTAGAGCAGAAAGAAAACTCCTTTTACAAGCTTTGACCAGTGCTCTGCTGTTCACTGATAGAAGTCACAAGACTGCTATATACTGCTGATGAGAAAAGGCATTTAGCAGTTTATATTGACTAAAATAATTGCATTTCCATGTTCTGTGTGAGACCAGATATAGTGAATGCAGGGTCCTGGGAGAGCAGATATAGTGAATGCAGGGTCCGGGGAGACCGGATATAGTGAATGCAGGGTCCGGGGAGACCGGATATAGTGAATGCAGGGTCCGGGGAGACCGGATATAGTGAATGCAGGGTCCGGGGAGACCAGTTATAGTGAATGCAGGGTCCGGGGAGACCAGATATAGTGAATGCAGGGTCCTGGGAGACCAGATATAGTGAATGCAGGGTCCGGGGAGACCAGATATAGTGAATGCAGGGTCCGGGGAGACCGGATATAGTGAATGCAGGGTCCGGGGAGACCAGATATAGTGAATGCAGGGTCCGGGGAGACCAGATATAGTGAATGCAGGGTCCGGGGGAGAGCAGATATAGTGGATGCAGGGTCTGGGGGAGACCAGATATAGTGAATGCAGGGTCCGGGGGAGAGCAGATATAGTGGATGCAGGGTCTGGGGGAGACCGGATATAGTGAATGCAGGGTCTGGGGAGACCAGATATAGTGAATGCAGGGTCTGGGGAGACCAGATATAGTGAGTGCAGGGTCCGGGGAGACCAGATATAGTGAATGCAGGGTCTGGGGAGACCTGATATAGTGGATGCAGGGTCCGGGGAGACCGGATATAGTGGATGCAAACAAAGCACTGGTTAAAGCTTGTAGGAGGAGTTTTCATTTTGCTCTAGGAGGATGCAGAACCCCTGACCTCTGTCTGGACAGTGCTGATTGGCAATGTGCTGATCACATGCACTCTCCCAAGAAAAAAAAACCCTCTTTAGCATTACGCACTAAACTGAGCATGTGCAGAATGGCTATGGTTCAGTCTGTCTTATCAGGAGATAAGACGTGGACATTTGAACAAGAGAAGGAGCAGAGCAGTCCGGATCAAACAGCCTTTTTACACAATGCAGAGGATTAACCCCTTAGGTTCCACAGTGAGTATAACAAGCATGCATTACTGCAAGTACAGACTGATTGTACTGTTGTGGGTTTAGGAACACTTTAATACCGCTTTAAGAATACATCCAAATGTGCGATGAGGAATGGACTGCGGATTCCTGCAACAGGAACCTCAGTTGTATATGAACAGCTGCAGCCAGGAAGCCTACACAAATGAGCCCCCATTTATGCCGGTGCAAATGGCCATGCGATTTGACAGCTCCAAATCGCAGGACAAGTCGCACTCTATTTGTTCCATAGAACCGTTCGTATTGGTGCGACTCCGACTTTCACCAATTTAAAAAAGTTTCCTTCGTTTGTTTTGGCGATTTCATGTGCGTCTTGCATTGACATCTATGCATGAAATTGCACCAATGTCAGCAAGCCGCACGTGAAATCGCACTGTCCTGCTGCTCTGACATTGCACTGAAGTGGTGCGATTTCAAAGCCGCATTCGGTGTGACCTGACAGCATCCACATGCCAATTGTACTTGCCCATTGAGCGAATTCCTGTGGCTAGGGACAGGTGGCTGAACCTGAACGCAGAATGCTTGCATCCAAGGTTAGTCCCTAACTGCAGGTAATCCAACCAAGTGCAAACAGATGCAGATGATGCAGCCACTGTCGGCCTGTCAGTCATGTGAACAGGCTTCCCAGCCACAGCTTTTTCTTGCCATGGGAATCTGCCATCCGTTTCTAAACTCCCACGTGAACGTAGCCTTAAAGTGTCAGGATACCTAAAAAAAATGTTAGTCTCTACAATACATTTCTATAGTATTGAATGTTTTGTTAATAAATTGATTTTTGATCAGTATTACCTATTGATCCTGCCGGTGACCTTCTCTTGGTGTCAGTGGTAGATATGGTGACAATTGTCCTTCCAAGCTGGCCTCTTTAGAAACTATTAAGCAAGCACGGTCAGCAATCGAAGATTTGCTAGTGGGTTGTAAATAAACATCAGCGGCTGTGGGTACAATTCTTAACCACTTCCCGTCCGCCCTATAGCAGAAATACTGCTACAGGGCGGCACAGGTGCGCAAAATCATGTATATATATGTGCGCGCGCCCTACCCGCGCCGCTATTCGCGGCCTTGGCTGTCAATCACCGGGTCCCACCCAGTGATTACTCGCTGGCACCCAGTGATCGAGGAGCATTACTGACAGAGGGAGAGAGCTATAAGTAAACAATACAATTCTCTCCCATGTCAGCTCCTGCATACTGCTTTGTATGGCTCTGCATAGCAAAGCTATGCAAAGCAGTGTGCTTACAGTGAAGCACACACACAGCACACAGTTAGGCTAGCTTCACATATGTTCGGGTGGTGCCACTGCGGATCCGCACAAAAATCCGTGCAGCCGCACCACGCACACAAAAGAATGCGGACCTGCGGACGGGTGCCATTAATTCTAATGGCATGCCGCCCGTATTGGAAATCGCAACCGTACTGGGAACCGAGGTTCCCGTGTGGGCTGCGTTTTCAGAAGAAGTGCAGGGACTTCTTCCCTGCGTGTCCAGGGGCACGGGAGTCCATTCAAATGAATGGGCTCTCATGCCCATGCAAAACTCAGCCCACAGGAACGCAGATATGTGAACCAGGGATAAAACAGCACACAGTTAACCCTTTGATTGCCCCACACGTTAACCCCTTCCTGCCCAGTGCCATTAGTACAGTGTCAGTGCTTTTTATTAGCACTGATCACTGTATTGGTGTCACTGGGGATCTCAGTGACACCAAGTCAGTTCCCCCCAGTGTCAGAATGGCCGCCGCAGTCCCACTATAAGTCACTGATTGCCACCATTACTAGTAAAAATAAAATAAAACAAATCCCAGTATATATACCTCCATTTGTAAAGGCTATAACATTAACGTAAACCAATTAATTTACATGTATTGGGATTTTTTTTTAAAAAAAGACATGGAGCAGAATACTTCTACAAACATTGGTGAAAGAATGGGTCGCTCTTAGGAGCTCAGTGAATTCAAGCGTGGTCCCGTGATAGGTTGCCACCTGTGCAATAAGTCCATTTCCTGGCTACTAAATATCCCACGGTCAACTGTTAGTGGTATTGTGACAAATTGGAAGCAACTGGGAGCAACAGTAAATCAGTCACGAAGTGGTAGGCCACGTAATATGACAGAGTGGGGTCAGCGCATGCTGATGCACACAGTGCGCAGAAGTTGCCAACTGTCTGCAGAGTCAAACTTTCCTGTGGCCTTCAGATTAGCACAACAACAGTGTGTAGAGAGCTTCATGGAATGGGTTTCCATGGCCGAGCAGCTGCATCCAAGCCTTACATCACTAAGTGCAATGCAAAGCGTCGGATGCCGTGGTGTAAAGCACCTCACCATTGGACTGCAGTGGAGACGTGTTCTCTGTCTGGCAATCTGATGGATGTGTCTGGGTTTGGCAGTTGCCAGGAGAATGGTACATGCCTGACTGCATTGTGCCAAGTGTAAAGTTTGATGGGGGGGATTATGGTGTGCGGTTGTTTTTCAGGGGTTTGGCTTGGCCCCCTAGTTCCAGTGAAGGGAACTTTTAAGGCATCAGCATACCAAGACATTTTGGACAATTTCAAGCTCCCAACTTTGTGGGAAGAGTTTGGGGATGGCCCCTTCTTGTTCCAACATGACTGCCCACCAGTGCACAAAGCAAGATCCATAAAGACATGGATGAGAGAGTTTGGGGTGGAGGAACTTCACTGGCCTACACAGAGTCCTGAACTCAACCCGATAGAACACCTTTGGGATGAATTAAGCGGAGACTGTGAGCCAGGCCTTCTTGTCCGACATCAGTGCCTGACCTCACAAATGCACTTCTGGAAGAATGGTCATAGACACCCTCCTAAACCTTGTAGACAGCCTTCCCAGAAGAGTTGAAGCCATTATAGCTGCAAAGGGCGGGGCCAACTCAATATTGAACCCTACAGACTAAAACTGGGACGCCATTAAAGTTCATGTGCGTGTAAAGGCAGGCCGACCAATACTTTTGGCAATATAGTGTATGAGAGACTATTTCCCCCACATAGAGTTCATACTGCTACATAGAATTCATACAAATTCACTTCCACACAATGGAGAGCATAAGGAAGACAAAGCCCTATGCAATAGAAGATGATAGCCCTTCTAGAGGCACTATAGAGTTCTTCCTCAACAAGGGAGCGTTAATTTTCTAAACTCTAAGCATTATGTTTTCTAGACAGCATTAGCAATTCACTGACCAACCAGAAAAATTTAAATGTTTGATTGATGTATGGGCTACTGCACGTTGGTGGATCTATGCAAGTATACTGTGGCATCATAAAAATTGAGACATGGTCTGAGCAAGAGATATGGGACTATCAGTCAATAATAACATCCTATCGTTCTGTAGAACTGACTAGAGTAGAGACACATACAGGTAAGTTATTACTATATATGGTCTACGAGTGCTGCTTTTAGCATCTTACATTGGAATCATATTAGAAGGATGCAATATGTGGTTGCATAGTAACAGCTGCAGCAACAGATTATGTACTGGCGACAGCCATGTAGCAGAATCTAGTAATAAAACTCTGTGAATCATTGCAAAGCCAGACTTATACCTCAGCTGGAGAAAAGAAGTGTGATTTATCCATAGTGACCAATCATATGCTTAGTATGGTTTGAGAAAATTAGGCAAGACATCTATAAAAAATGGGATGTATTTACTAAAACTGGAGCATCCAAAATCGTGTGCAGCTCTGCATATAAACCAATCAGCTTCCATTTTCTTGTCAAAAGTTAATTTAAAGGACAATACCTCAAATCTTTAGCCATGCATATGGTCAACGCAGCCAGACTCTGTCTTCCCAATCTTTGGGGCTCCACCCGCCCTCCCTCCATATGCGATTGGCTTACCCGTGTGGGTAAATTGCGGAAATGGAAGAACTGATTGCGACTGAACTCGATTCCCCAACTAAATTCTCCCATGTTTGGGCCTGCTGGACTCACTTTAAAACTACTCCTAAATACCGGTCCCTTATGGACCAACCAACCAACACTCCTGATTGAATACTAACCTCTGTTGTATGTTACTCCACACTTTAGATCATACAGTAGGCAATTTCCTCCCCATCAGGGCTCTATCCCCACCTACCTACTCAGGTTGATAGACTTATGCTCAAATCCACCCATAGAAGACCCTTGGTGTTGACAACAATACAAACCCAGTTCCTTATCCCCCCCTTTTTTTTGGTTACCCCTTTTTTTTCTCTTTCTCTCTCTCTCTCTCTCTCTCTCTCTCTCTCTTTTCTTGGTCTCCTTTCGTCTTACCTTCCTGTTATACGCCCAGTCAACCACTCGGTTCCTCTCCAGAGAACATTAGGCATGCCATTGTCATACCTTCCCTACTTACATCAGCGACCCTCACGACAATCTAAGCTTGATTACAGGCACCCTCATTCCAGTAGGACACTAGCCTCGTCCTCAACAGTTGTGCTGCATCTACCCTCCCTACTTCTGCTGCGCTGCAATGAGAATTTCATACTAAGGAGGTCTGATGCGATAACATTCCCATTCGCACTACCATACTGCCTGAGTATTACAGACTTACCCCATCGTGGACTGGCACAACCATGTTACGTATGTGGTTCTTTGCAAGAATATTCC